TATCGGTGTTAGAAATATGGATAGTGTTACTGTTAGAATTAGGCTTAGGGTTTTGGTTAGGTTTACAGTTAAATTTAGATTTAGGGTTAGGTTAGGGTTAAGGTTGTTAGATTTGGGTATAGTTTTAGGTATATGGTTAGTGTTTGGGTTGTAGTATTATAATAAAATACATTTAGGTTTAGGTTTAGGGTTATGTAAGGATTAAGGTTAGGGTTACAATTAAAGTTAGATTAGGGTTAAGGTTAGATTTAGAGTTAGGTTAAATTTTGGGTTAGGGCTAGGTTTGCTTTTGGTTTAGGGTTGGGTTTAAGTTTAAAGTTATGGTTAGGATTTAGGGTTATGGTTTGTGTTAGGGTTTAGAATTTTATGGTTAGGGTTTGCCTTAAAATTAGGTTTAGAATTAGGAATTCTAATTTTAGAATTAGGTTTAGGGTTAGCTTTAAGTTTTGGTTTAAGGTTAGAATTATAGTTAAGTTTAGGGTTAGGATTAGGGCTATGCTAAATTTAAGGTTACAGATAGGTTTAAGGTTTGGGTTAGTGTTAGGTTTACGATTAGATTTTTTGGTCAGGTTTAGGTTTGGGTTTATAGTTAGGGTTAATTTTGGGGTTATGTTTATATGTCAAATGCTGGTGAGGATGTGGAGAAACTGGGTCACTCATACATTGCTGGTGGAAATATGAAATGGTATAGCTGCTCTGGAAAAACAGTTTGGCAGTTTCTTAAAATGACAGAGCTCATTTAAATTGGAATATACATCATTTACTTTCTAAATAATAGATATCTGTACAGACATAGCCATTTTATTTAATAAACCAAATTTATAGTAAAGGGGGTTAAGATAGCTGGAGTGAAATAACTGAGAATTTCAGAAATACGATTCTTCCGCTTCTGCCTCTATCATTCTCACTTCCAAGGTCATCTTTGCATTCCTCCAGGTGCAGGGGAACATGCTCAGTTACTTGTACTAAATGCTGGTGCCAAAATATTTATAGCTATGAGGCTCCAAAACTTAGAGCACCTGATGTGACTCTGGATCCCTACCTGACTTCTTTGGGGTTGTCCTTTCGGGCTGATTTGAGCCGGATTACCTGGCTTTGTCCATGAAAAAGGATGATTCTGGGACCAGATGTCCCAGGTGTGTTTTGGACTTTTAATTCTGATCCAGAAACGTGATCTAAATGTCCCGAGGGGATTCGGAACCCTTTGGGGTAAAACCCAGCCCTCTAGGCTACCTCTGGGATGGCTCTAGACTCAAAGTTCAAGAGCCCCAGGCTCCAGCTATACCCTTCAGAGAATTATAGATTCCTTTCAAACTCCTGGGCTAGATTATTTTTAATTATAGACTTGTCCCTAGTATAAATCCCTTGCAGAGGGGCTATTTCTGAAGTGTTTCCCTCTAACACCAGGGTGTCTGACGTTCTTAAGATGTAGTTCCTTAGTCACCTGCAATCAAATACACAAAACCTGTGACAGAAGGGCTCCAGTTATACCTCAGAAAGTGAATGTAAATATGTGTGTTTATGGGGGTGAATCTCTACATAATACATATGCAAATCCATAAGCATGAATAATTTTAAATGAATGGCATGAAGATTCTAGCTCTCATAACAAAGTAGTCCTTCTTAATCCAACAACACATTTTACTTGCAACAAATAGAAGCTGCTCCCTGTTGACAAAGATAAAACGTATGTGCAAAAACAGTTGCCCTTGGAGACAGAGTGAAAGTTCCTCCCATAAATATGAAGGCACAGAGTTAAGTTAGGCAGACATGCTTCCAGGGGCTTCATGTCTGCGGAGGGCTTGCACAGGGGCAGCTGAGAGTGTGACCATCTCCTCTCCTCGGAGATGAAAAGGAAGCCAGAGGCAGGTCACAGCAGAGACGACTTGCAGGCTGCATCAGTCCTGCACTGAGGCCACACGCTCACGTCCAGACCACAAAGGATGCAGGCACGGGGTGCGGGTGGGTGGATAAAAATAGCAGAAAACAGTTTTGCATTTTTTAAACCTTATTAGCCAGTTATGTAGAAACCCTACTTATTTTAATATACACCCACCTGTCTTCACTAAGGTACAATTAGGCAGAGATTAAAGGAGTATGAGAGATACTCTATATGCGCCAAGTCTGCAGTTTTCTTCTGTCTGTATCAGTGGTTTTCAACTGGGGGGTGGAATTTTGCCTCCCCAGGGATATGTGGCAATATCTGGAGACATTTCTGACCATCACGACTCGAGATGCTACTGGTAGCTAATGGGTAGAGGTCAGGGATGCTGCTAAATATCCTATAACGCACAAAACAGAACCTAAAACAAAGAATTATCTGTCCCAAAGGCCAACAGTGCTGAGGCTGAAAAACCATGTCACGGTTGGATAGATAGAAAACTTACGGTCAGCAGCTCTCTAGTATAAGAGCAGTTAGGGCACTTTAAGGACCGTGCAGGAACGCTCTCTACTTGGCAAGCTGGCTGCAGGCCGCCTAATGCTACCCGAGGGGTCCGCGATGGGAAAACAAAGCAGGCCGAGAGGTATTAGTGCACAATTTTTAAAAATTTCAAATATTAGCATAAAAATGAAAAATGAACCTGAAAGTTGGAAAGGACCATTTTTTGCTCAGTTGATTTTGATCACTTACTGTTTCTACAACCACAGAAGCAAATGTGGTCACACTTCTGACTTAGGTCAAATCTGACAAAAGACTTATGAAACTGTGTTACTAAAAACAGCCTGAAACATCAGAAACAGAAGAGTAACTTCTAGATTAACAAAAGAATCGCCATTGGTTTCTGAGATGCTCAATTCCAATAAGATATTTAAAGTTATTTCCCCATGTCATCTAAAAGGTATCCTTTTTTAATGGCTTTATATATGGGAAGGGGCAATGTGGAAGAGATGAACAAAAATCGTTTTAGGTATTTACAATATTATAATTCAGTAAATCCTAATGCAAAAAGACAGCATTATTTCCCGTGAAATCATCTCCACTGAGAAGCAGACTCTATGAGAAGCAGTAAAACAGCAGAGCAGCTTCCATAGGAGTCTGATAGTCAAGCCTTTGGCTGGCCCCCACGCTTCGGAAAAAGGGTGGAGGACGACAATGAAAAGACACGTTACCTGACTCAGTACCGAGAACCAAGCGCCTCAGCAGGAAAACATTTCCAAGTCTTCATTAATGGAGTTAATGATACCGTCCATTTGCGGTAATGACTCCATCAAACAATCGCTTAGGGAAACAAGGGAAGGACACGCACTGAAGCTGAAATGGGGCCGACGGAAGTGCAACTTGACCCCCAATTCTATGAAAATCTGTCTCTGAAACAGACACGTACGAAGGCGGGTCCCACTCCCGGGTGCTCAGACAAAGAAATCCAAAACACGAATGCAAAAGACCGGCGCGTCCCTATGTCCGCTGTGGCATCACTCGTAACAGGAGGTCGGAGGCGCCTGTGTCCCTCCTCAGCGGCCACCAGGAGGCTGGTGACCAAGGCGCCGGAGGCTCCCGTGGCCGTGCAAAGGAAGCGGCCCCACCCTCCCAGCAGCAGGCCCCGACGGCACTGTGCAGTGGCATCGGTGGGTCAGAGGACAGTACCACAGGGTCTCACTAAGGAGCAAAACTTAAAAACTCAAAAATACAGAAAACATCTCAATGGTTGCCAGAGCGGAGGGCTCTTGGGGGTCTGGGTGAAAAGGGCGAGGGGTTAAGAGGTACCGACTGGCAGCTACAGAGCAGTCACGGGGATGGAAAGACAGCTCAGGGAACAGTCAGTGACAGTAAGGACTATGGATGGTGCCCGGTGGGTGCTCGATTTATTGGGGCGATCGCTTCCTAAGTTATATAAATGTCTAATCACTATGCTGTCCACCTGAAACTAATATCATATTGTATGTCAACTGTAATTAAAAATTTTTTAATGTGACAATATGTCATTTCATTCAGGAAAATACAAGTACAATTGGAAAATTCTTGTTTTCAGGTAGTGAACAGACATTGAAGCACAATTCAACCAACCTGTTTGCATTTTCTCCATCATCCTGTGTGGGGTTGTCTTTTGGGGGGTTTTTTGGGTCATACAAAAAAACCCACCAAGACTCTCAGTAAGAATCACTTCTACAATTACATTATTATTTAAACAGCTAGCTGTAGGGCTTTATGTGATAAAACCTGACCAACAGGGAAGAAAATCCATCATTGCTGCCAATCTAAAAGGAACCCAGCCCGAGTAAGGAGGGGCAAGTCACCTGAGAACAGGCTGGAAGGTGGCCGGCCGCCTTCAGGCAATTTTACTCTGGGCCTGAAGCTACTCACACCCCCTGCTCCTCTACTTCTATCAAGACAGCGGCAGGACAGAGAACTGCGGGTGTCTGACTGCCGCCTCTTCGCCGCACGTGTCTCCGACAGAGGAGCAGACGGGACCAACGTTTAAAAGATACCTAGACAAGTAAAATGCCCAATGAAAGCCATTCTTAAGTCACTGGTAAATTAGGCCACTTTCTTCAAATTAAGCTCTGCTAATTAGGCACTTAATAAAAACAAATGACATCATGCAGACATCTCAACAAAGAGAGACAAAAACAGAAGAAAGCAGGGGTGATATCAGTACCTGCATTTTGTTTTTTTAAAAACGGGATGTTATACTTTAGCCAGAAATGTTTGGAAGAAAAATTACTTAAGAAGAAAAATATAGTATTTTCTTGTTCCTTAGAAATCAATACCTTTTTTAGTTTCACTAGTTAAAATTATTTTTTTCAGTGTTTTTAATACATAAATAATGCTCAGATATTGGCTAAACAAGGAAAAATTCAGGCAGTGCCTTTGAGCCCAATAAAGGAAAGCACTGACTAACCAATAAGCTTATCCCAGAGAAACACGTCGAGCTTGTATTTGGATATAACATTCAATAATTATGGCTTTAAATATAAAATGTAATGTTTCAAAATTCCACATTTCCTCAGGTATTCTTTCTTTTTAGCTATGTGGACTTTGAATAGTCCACATAGTTTAAAATAAAGGAACACTTTTCATATAATTTTGGAGCAAAACGTGAATGGTCTTGACCCAGAACTGTGGATCTGGACAGTAAACAATCATGTTCATACAAACCACAGACCTGGTATTTAAAAAGGAAGACTCAGAACTGCGAAAATATAACTCCTAATAGCTAATGTCCTTTGGAATTTTGCTTCAAAACAGAAGATACAAAGTTTTGAGGTCTTGCTGCCTTAGAATCTTTCCAAGGTTTGGGTAAACAAAAACATGAGGGATTTAAAATTTTTGTTTGTTGTTGTTTTCAAAAAGGCAATGCTTTTTCTCTCCGGTTCCAAGTTCAGTTCGCGTGTGCGGTGCCAGCGCTGCACTGGCCGAGCCGGGCGCCCCGCGCTAGGCTTCGTTGTACCAGTGCATGGAGCGCCTCACCGCTCGCACCCAGCGCTCCATGCTCACTTCGTAGTCCTGCCATTTCTTCTGCGGCTTGAACACCACTTCACTTCGTCTCAGCTTCTTTAGTTCCTCTTTGTCAGTCCAAAACCCTGAGGTGAAAAAATTATTCTCAAATTTTAAAGCAAATAATGAGTCCATAAAGTTGACCCACAAACCTAAGTGAAATGGTGCAAAGGTAAACAATTATTATTTAAAACACAACCCAGAGTATTTTGTTGCGTTGAGTTTTGTTAGATCAACTGTCCCAGGGAATGAAGAGGCAGGACAAAGGCCGTCTGCGTTCTAACTATTGGTGGAGGAGGGCACCAAGTCCCTGCTAGAACGACACGCCCTGTCGTCGTTTAATTTCATGACTTGTTTCTCTCTCTCTCCCCCTCCTTCCTCTCTCTGAAATCAACAAAGTCGTCAGGGGCGGCAGAGGCATCCTACTAGTGACCCTGGTGCGTCTCACTGGCTCTGAGAACTTAGTTGACGAGTCCTGTGAAGTCCATTTTCTCCCACCAATGAGACTGACACATAAAATTCTTCCTTCTAAACTTTTCTGTCAGGTCAATTCTTTCTATTTACAAAGTTGGCATTTTTGACTCTCTCTATTTAAAGATATTAATTGATAGAAGTTTTAAAAAGACTAAAAATAATTCTAATTAGTATAACACAGTTAGATAAATCTAGTCATAAAAACAAATATGTTCTTAAAATCCTTATTTCCAGAATTTATTATTTACACTAAGGCATACATATGTCTAAAGTTATTTTATTAAATGCACATGAGCAGACCCAGTTTCTGAGTGAGTTTTGAAAGCCCAGAGAATGCAAAGCCCTGTCTGCTGCCCGGGAGAGAGGCCGCCGGCCGAAGCCCGGCTGCCTCCCCGCCGCGGGGCTGCCGCTGGGGTCTGAGTCAAAGGCAGACTCACGGAGCAGCTGAGCCCGCCGCTGCGTTCTGTGGACGGGTGATCTGCGAGTGTTGGTATTTAAGGCATTTTAAATGTTAAGGAGAATCTGGCATATCCATTCTTATGAGGTGAAACGTACAGAAGAATTTGATTCTTACAAATAATATTAGGATGTTTATGAGAATTTGATTTATTATAATTATAGGTGTAATTTATTCAATTTGCAAGAATTGTTTAAATACTTTAGAAGATTTCCTCATTACAGGTCCAAGTTTGCTCAGTTAGTTACATGAAATTATTTTTTAAAATCAACTATATTAAATTTTTAAGGGTTGAAATATACAAAAAACTTTAAATTTGTAAATTGGAATGAGTAAGGGAAAGTTATTTTCTTAAATTTGAATTAAGCAAACAGTCAATGAACAAATGAAAGTGTAATAATTTTATTCAAAGTTAACAGACTTTTAGTAGAATAAAGTTAAAGTTGAACTTACCAAGATTTCAGACTTTTTGGATTTGGAACTTTACTATGCTATTAGCCTAAAACATTTAACTGTAAAATAGTCTGTTCTGCACAAACACTCCTCCCTTCCATACAGGAACACGTTAAATTTCTCCCAGTGTCCCAAGGGCGTATTTCGTAACAAGCCCTCTAACTGGCTCTGCATTCCCATTCTTTACCCTCCAAATCAGCCCCTCCACCGACTGCCAGTCTGTTCAGATGGAGATCTACCCATGTCCCTCTCCTGCTGAAAGCTCTTCGGAGGCTCTCCCAGGCCTTGATGACCAAGCCCAAGCTCTTTTTGAGGGAATCTACCACCTGGCCTCTGTGCACCTGCCCAGCCTCCCTCTTGCTCGCCTCCTACCAGCACTTACCGTTAACGGGCAGAGCCTGTGCAGGGGCTGTGCTCTCTGTTGGACAGCTCAACTCTTACCCTCTCCTCACCTGGCTCTCAGGTAGCCCCTTCAACACTGAGCTCTGTGTTGCATCCTCTGGGAAGGCTACACCATTTGCTTAATTCTATATCTGTTTGCTGGTTTTTCACACTCATTTAATACTCAGTTGACTTGTCTGACTGCTTCCATCAGAGACTCCCAGAGCAGGGGCTGTCCTGAAACTATTCCCAGCAGCGACTGTCATGGAACAGGGCACTCAACAAATGGTCAATAAATAAAAGAATGGAGTTTGTTTCTAATGCCAAAGACATGCCCATCTACTCAGGAAGTCTGCCCAGAGACCCCGCCTTGCTGAAGACCAAAGCAGCTGAGAGTGAAGTGTCCTCACCTCCTGCCTGTGACTGAAGGAGGGACCAAGAGGTGCATGACATCCACCCACAGGAGGATTCTGAGTCATGTGCATGTGCCTGTGGAGCTTAATGGACCCCAGGTTTTCCACACCCTCTCTATAACTTTACAGTTTGGGAGGAAAAACGCTATCCGTAAGAAATAGTTTGCAAGACAGCTCTCATTTTTATAAAATGCACACATACCGACAGCAAGGCCGGCTAGAGAGGCTGCGCCAAGGCAGGACATATCCAGGTGCATGGGCCTGTCTATATTCTCATTGATCAGGTCTGAAGTCATCTGCATGACAAAACTGTTCTTACAAACGCCTCCATCTGCTCTGCAGGGAACAAGATGTTTGAGGTAAATTACCAGAACAAAAGCATAAAAACATTACTAATTTTTAAAAATTATATCACTTAGCATAGGTCTACAGATACAGGACCTTCCTAAATAATCTTAAAACATGTCCCCTTATTCTTGCCACCAGTTCTCCCACCTGCTCTGTTTGTCTTGGGACTAGTTTAAAACAGGCGAAGTGAACTGAGCCAACATAAAAATTCATTTGGATATTCTAGGAAACAAAATGTGATGCTTCTATGTCAAAAGGATAGCCACCCCCCCAAAAAAAGAGATTTTAAACATTTTTATTATATACATATGGGTGCTAAGATCCTCCCAAATTCATATTGCACTATATTCTCCATAAACCCCAAAGCAACTTCCTTTCCTCTCCAAATCCCTAGGATCCAGAATTTTGTTGCAAAGAAGCTAGGTTTAAGTTCTTTTTGAAATCCTGAATAACCCTAATGATAAAAATACTAATGGCAGCTACCACTTACTTCTAATTTCTAATTACATCTACTAGAAACAAAGTTTACATACCGGATTTTTCTAACAGGAATATGGATCTCTTTCTGCATCACCTCATATAACTGTTTGTTTCTAGTTAAAAAATAAGATAACTATTTAGAGAAAACTGAAATCATAGTAATTCTCTATTTTTTCTAATCTAGAAAAATTAAAATGGTGGTTTTACTTACATGATATATATAAAATATACAAAGAGGTATTACACATATTCTGCTAACTGAAAGTGGACAACAGATGCTCAAATAAACTAGGGCCTCGAGGCCTCCAGCTTTTCACCTCCATACAAAAGAGAGCAGTTTTTATTTTCAAGCTGAATTTTATCTATAATCATTCCAACAAGTAAAAATATAAAGCAAGCACCCATGTAACAGGTAGCTATTAAGATGGCATGTCATAAATACCATCTACTAGAATTCATCAAATATAATATTAATCATTTTATAATCACAGGAAATTTCATTTTAAACATTAAAACTTTCCATATTCATGATAGCCACATACTTATTTTAATAATCTACACCTGCCCCATAACCAAAAAAGCAAAGGAATATATACATGAAGAATAATTTGGATAATTCAATCCTTGAGTATCACAGAAGCATATTAGAATTCTCCTTCATGGATACAAAAACCTTTGGAGGTCCAAATTTTGAATCTCTTATGGTTAGGAAATTGGATATTTTTTAAAAAATCATTAAATTTTCAGGTATCAAACCTAAGTGGTACTGGTACTATTTAATATGAGAAAAAATGAGAGATGTTATGAAAATTAGCAGTAAGAACAGATTATGTTATATGCAGTGTGAATTAAACTAAAGGTACAAACCCTTGATTAAAATTAAGAAATTTCCGGTTTCATAGAAACTAATGGGAGGAAATGGCCATACTGTGTGGGGAGAAAGGCGTTCAGAGCAGCCTCTGGTACCTGAAAGCAATGGACTCCAATATTGCCCGAACAAGATGATGTTTACTAGTGGAAGGCTTCAAACCCATGAAAGAGGCACAGGCACAGGGGTCATTTAATGGAGCCTAAAGTGAGAGAGAGTAAGAACATATTATTGTTCTAAATTACATCTACAGACCTAAAGACATATTCTACAATAAAAACACAGCCACATTAGAAAAAAACAACCCCTATTACAGTTAAGTCGTTTTAAAATAAATGATAGCCCAAAGTTATGTTAAATCTTACAGTAACTTTCGACAGGCCCTGAGCAGGTTTGAGTCTCTGACATGGGGCTGAGGGGGCCCTCCGTCAGCCCACAGCAGGAAGGGGGCTGCAGTGCAGGGGCCTCGCTCTGCGGGGGCAACGGGAAGCAATGCCCAGATCCCCCCTCTCCAAATGCAGAGCTTTTACACTGAAGCTTGTTTACTGTGTAAAGTAGCTTTTTGAGGACACAGATTCACGATAAAAAACAATAATGCAAAAAACATGTTTTTCAATGTCATAACTTACACCCAATACGTTGTCCAACACTCAGGCTAAAGTCCTCAATTTCTTAACTCACAGTCTTATTGCCTAATATGCGAAATGACCCAGCCTAACGTCTGTCTTTAAGAGTCAAAACCTTGCCCTGGTAGGTGTGGCTCAGCTGGTTGGAGCATCGGCCTGGGCACCAGAAGGTTGTGGGTTCGATTCCCAGTCAGGACACATACCTAAGTTGCAGGTCTGATCCCCAGCCAGGGGGCGGTCAGGGGGCACACCAGGCAACCACTCGATGTCTCTCTCTCTCCCTTCCCCTCTCCCCAAAAGCAACAAACTTATCCTTGGGTGAGGATTGAAAAACTTTTTTTTAAAGAGTCAAAATCTTGAGCCAGATGCACACATCAGATGAAATTTGCAGTCAGCTTTGCGTCCTCAGAAATGCAAGGCCATTCTGGGCCGGAAAACAAAGACTCCTGCCAGAGCCTGCAGTCTCCCGGCAGCAGACAGGGACACCGACAGCAGGTCACGACAGGGACCTGCAAGCGTTGCCAGGAAGGGAGGGGCCCCAGAAAAGCACTTGCTGGCTCCCAGTCCTGACCTATCATCCCCTTTCTGCCCTCCTCCTAGTTAACCCTACTCCCCTCAGAATCTTGGCGGTTTCCTCTGGGAAAGCTCCTGACCCCAGGGACCAGCCCCGTCCTCAATTACGTGTTGCTGTGCAAGCCTCGAACTTCCACTCACATCATGTGCCATGATTTATGATCACAGGGAATGTGTGACTGTGGAAACTCATTGAGGGTGGCCCTCCAGAGGGACCCATCCACAACTGCTGATTGACACATACTTATTGAAACTTGAACAAACCTTTCCTAATTAATTAACTGAAGAAATTCCACATTATATCTTATCTTTACTATAGCTATGATTTTCCTCCTATTGTGAAATTATCTTGATAATTTTCAAACTCATTAACATCTTTCGATGATTCACTCAGTAAAAGTTGATTTACACAGTGAAGCTGGTCTAGAGCAGGGTTATGAGCCTGTAAAACAAAGATAGGTCAGACTCTGCCGGTTCAGTTAGTCCCTAGGATGCTATGGGGTTTCTCTGCATAAAAACTATTTCTTCAGATATGCTGCATAAAATTCTGGAATGAATGGCCTGAAGTCACTTTTGTACAAATAACTATGAACATAACTTACTGTTACTAGTAGGTCAATTTGAAGGGTAATAAATTCCACAAAAACCTAAAAATTTCTTGATAGATTACAACGTCCCTGCATTAGTCGGTCTGAGCGAGTCTCTCTTTGGGATGATGTAGAAACAACACTGGCAGGTTCTTTACAGGCCTGGACATACCGGAGCCTCCAGCCACACCCCCAACATGTCACTGCCAGTCCTACCGAGCGGGGCTCCTAGAGCCACCGGTCAACTAGGCACAGCACGACTGGGCCACGTGCTGTTGGGCGCCCTAAGCAGACCTTGCAGGCCCCTGCCCCAGGCATAGGCTCTGCCCTGGCAGGCAGGCCTCTGCCACCACTAAGACGTCGGCCCATGTCTAGGGCCTTGCGGGGTGGCCACTGTGAGCATGCCTTTGTCCCAGTCAACAGAGGCCCCCCCGGCATGTTCCTGTGGCGCCCGCCGCCTACTCCTGCTCTACCATGAAATCGTGTGAAGTGATTATAACCTGGACTCTGGAATCAGGACGCATCGACCCTAAAATCAGCCCTCCTGCTCAGCAGCTGGGTGAGACTGGGCAGGTGATTTAACAGCTCACCCTCAAGTTTCCACATCTTCAGAATGTGTCTTGCTGAGTTGCTGAAGAGCAAATGAGATAATGCATGTAAAGAATTTAGGACAGGGCTGACACGCAGTAAGAATTCACAGCTCAGCTACCACTACAATTCTATTTTATTTTCCCCCCACTACTACTAGCTTCCCTCACAACCCTTTCACTGCGCCTTCTGAACACTTTCTTCTACTGCAAAGATTCCCCTAACCAGTCCCCTGCTCTCAAACGGGCCCTGGGCTGGGCAAACGGCTCCGGTGCGGCTGTTCAGCGCAGGCTCCTCAGGCTTCCACACGCAGGGACCCAAGGAAGCTGCGCTGACCGCCCGAGCACCCAGGCCACTGTGCGCGGCTGCTGGCAGGCCTCCTGCGCCCACGCTAAAGTCCACCCACACGAGGCTGCCCTT